TTATATTTTACTTTTTCAGAGTTGAAGAAATACAAGAGATATGAAGTACTAATGACAGCATATAATGTAATTGGCGAGAGCCCTACCAGCACACCAGTGGAAGTGTTTGTGGGAGAAGCAGGTAGGTAAAAGGAAAATTAGTTTTTTGTTTTTTTTTTTTTTTTTCCAGCATGTTTTAGTATTCTCCAGATAATATTTTATATTTGTCCAGGAATGAGATTACTTGAAAAATTCCCCAGTTATGATCACTAACAGGTTTTTTTTTTAGTGTCCTCTCGTGCAATAGGTTGGCACTGAGTTTCTTGCCATTTGAAAGCCAGTTGGTCTATGCGAACAAGGGGAGAAAGAGCATTTGAAAGAAAGAAGAAAAAATATTTTTGGAGTTGCAGGAGGATGACTGTTCATACCAGATTAGCTTGAGGGAAAAATTGACTCAAGTTAAAGAAGTGAAAAGTGGAGCACAGGAAAGCCACAAGGGAAAAGAAACAAAACTACAAAACAAGGGAGACTTGGAAAACTAGTTCTTTTATTTTATAGCTCTCTGTGTAGAAACATTGCCTGCGCATGACACCTTGCTGTATTTTTATGCTCTTGAAGTCAAGAAGACACTGTGTATTCTGGTTTGATGGAGCTTTGGAGGCACGGATGATGATTACTCTCAGGAACATGCAGCCTCTATAGCTGCATCCAGCCTCTACAGAAGTCAAGGGTCAGTGGCACTATTCATGCCTTTACTTATCGTGGATCTAGTGCATGAATCCAGGCTGTATTTATGAAATGCAACTTGCTGATCATTTTAAAATCCCTCCATTGGAAGGCTGGAGGTGGAAATCGGGTCGAGACAGTTGACATTTCTTTGAATGCTTTGTGAAACAGGTGGTTTTGCAGAGCCCAGATAACCCGCAGCTGGGTCTGTTCTTTTCAGTAACTCTAGCTGAGAAGCGGGGGACTGGAATGGCTGATGTCTTCTTCAGAGCCACGACGGCAGTGCCATATTTATGGTGACCCCAGCTGGAGAGAGGCTGGCGCTGAAACAGTTGTTAGTTATGGTATCAGTTTCTGCAGCAGCATCTTTTGAAGCTTAGAACAAGAATAGGCAACATGCACCCTCCTGTTGTTCAGTCTGCCGCCGTGAATGAATCTGATTACACTTTTGTTCTTCTGTCTCAAGGCTAGGATGTAGAAGCTATGAAACGCAGCACTAATTCGTTTTGTTATTATTCATTAAATATTCTATTGCTCAAAACTAAGCAAAGCACATTTTTTTAAACTCTACTTAACCTTTTCCTTTCAAATATGGTGTAACATTCGCTATCTTTCTCTGAAAACATCATAAATTAATCACAGCAGCATGGTTCTGGAGAGACAGCTGGCAATATTTACATTTTTTTCTAGTTTGTTGCTGCTCCAACTTACTTCTGCAACTGCAGCAAAGAATGCCCCAAGTGGAGCCAACTGTATCTAGCTTCAAATTACATTTTTGTGTCAGAGCTAAATATCTCACCGCTGCAAATGGAACCGGCACATGCATTTATACACACATATACAGCACAAAAAATCAGCTGGGGAAAGCCAATGAAATGCTGTTATATTGTGTCTTTTAATCGCACGGTCCAGGTCTTCCTTACCGTAACTCAGACAGGGAACAGGGCAATGGAAGGACCCAAACTTGGGAGGAAACAGAGATATCCAGGAGACCTTCTTTCACAGGCAAGGCTGGTCTATCTGAAGTTGTATCGTGACTCAGGTGGTTTTTTAGAGATATTGGATTTACCTCTGGTTAGGGACAATCCAGGTTCATGTGGTAGAAATGATGAACGTAGGATGTTCCTGCCGATTTTCACTCTTGTTGTGTGAAGTTATTACGCTTTGTTATATAACTGCCTCTTCCACCTCCAGAACTGGCTGTGATTTATACTGTGAGTAAAGTGATTGGAGCTGGTATTGCAATTTAAGTTTTAAATTGATTTGTGGCACCTTTGGGTTAAAAGTGTGCTGTGGAAATACAAGTTTTTGTTGTTATTGTTTGCTTGATGTTCTTACCCATGGTAAAAGCAGTTAAGAAGCAAGCTGGAAAAAATGGGTCTGCTTAGCTTCAGCAATGGGGCACCCATGTTAAAAATAGAGAAAACCTTCCCAATAAACAACAAGCACTGACAACACAGGCGTAGCACTGAACACAAAATGACTGAAGAGGACTGGTCGCCGATCTGAAGGCCCCAGATAACTTACGTCTCAGTGCTCTTAAACGGTGCTTCGTTCTGCCGTAAGCGTTGCAGTAATTCTGGTAGGTGCGAGAACATTCTTCTCTCAGTTGTAAAAAAAGGAATATACAGCATGTGCCTTTGGGGAAATGTGCTGGGTTTAGGCCACCTCAGTCAAAATACCCAATTCTGTGCAGTTCTGGTGGGTGTTTCATACAGCGTGGGGCACCTGGAAATACTACTGACGGTTGATGTGCTGTTCGCCTTCTGTGTCTGGTGCAGCCAGAGGAGCGATGCAAAAGGAGGAGTGTCTGTAATTCCTTCTTTCCCTCTTGCACTCTCCCCTGTTAAATTTGAAGATTTTCCTATCATTGTATCTGGGTTTTTACAATAAAAGCTCCAGTAGGCAATGGAGCCCCTGACAAACTTGGAAAAAAAAAAAAAAAAAGCCATTAAAACCAACCTTCTGGCAGTTTTGCCAATCAAACAAGTAAAAAGCACCCAAATGGGGAGTTTCTCTTGAGCCCTGGAGTGCCATTGGGTTGTACCCCAGCCAACAGCCTCCTCGGGCAGCCCGAGCACTCAGGTCTTGCCTCTGAGTGATGGGCAGGGGAAATTCTGGGAGAGAACAACCTGCTGGTAGGCAACGTTGCAGACTCAAGTAACGGACCTCGGTACCCTGCCTTGCCTGGTGAATAAAGGAGCTGGATGTGAGTGTTTGGTTTTTTTGGTTTGGTTTGATGGGGTTTTTTTCCTACATGTAGAGCAAAAGCTTTTTCTTGTTACAGTAGTCCATAAGATCAAAGCCCTGGCAAGGTCTCCATTTTGCAATCTGCCTGGAGGTTTGCAAAAGTCACTGGTGTGGAGAGCAATTCTTCCCCATGTCAGGAGAGCAGGCTGGGAGTCCTTGCGCTCCGTGCAGCCGGGAAGGATGCACTGCCCGTTCGGTCTGAACAGAGCCAGTGTCCTTCCCCCACCTGCCTCAAGCATCTGGATCCCTCTCCTCCACAGACCAGAAGATCCTCATAACATCGCCTTTTTAGAGCTGGCTGCAGCTCTGCCCTGCTCATTAGAGAACCATGTGCATCTCCCGACAAATGACAGAAAAATTGAAAGCCACCACTTGCAGAAATTCGGAAGGGAGTCACAGCCCCGTGGGCAAGCCCCCTTCTCGCCTTGTTAATTCGTTTAACAGTTCAGCTGTCAGGGATGACGGCTTTGATTGGGAAGGCAGTAAGTGTTCAGCGAGAGGCTGGGTACTGATATTCATCCCAGCCCTAAATGCAGCTGCTACCAGAGGTGCTGTTCTGCTCAACTGAAATTAAGACTCTGTTAGAGCAGCCACTATATCAAGAGCATTATTCTACCAGGTCACTGTCATATCTGATTGTGTGGTGGGCTCTGGAGTTCAGGGGACTCCACTACCTGCATTTTAATTAAACAGAAATCACAGGTTTGGGGCAGGCATGCTTCACCTAATTTGGGAAGGTGAATAAAATGGAAGGTGGCAATACAAATCCTGTGCTAATGAGCCTGCAGCCTCCAGTGCTTCTTCCATATACCGCAAAGCTGTTCTGGGTGAAAAATAATGGAATTCATAATTTCTTCGAACAGCTGCTGCTGGAGAAGAGCACATGTGTGTGGAGAGAAGGTAGCAGAAGGGGTGAAGTGCACCAAGAGATGCTAGCCTTTAAACAGGTTCTAAATCCATTTGTGTGAAGAGGGGATTGATGTGTGTCATTATAACTGATGGTGACATTGGTGACCTTCAGAATTCACAAGAACTGATGAGGCTGGTTTGTTGTTGTTCTTTTTAATAAGGATCTCTGAAAGCTGGTTCTGCAATGGAAAAGGGAAA